CTTTTTATGAATAATGATGAATTGTTAAACTTTGGTAAACTTTATAAAACACTTACACCCCCTCAATTCTACAGCCATTTTATTAACTCCAAAGGACCATTCAAGCAACTAAGTAGGCCTTTCTGCAATACAGAGCTGAACATTCAAAACCAAGGCACATGGACAATTCATATAATTTTGATAATCTGAAGGCACAGTCACATAATTATAGGTAGAGACAGTTCCATGAAAAGGCCCTTATAAATCTTTGCTATAGAAGGGAATGAACACCAATTGAATACCTATGCACTTAGAACTTGGTATCATTCAATGCTCACAATAACCCTACGAAGCTGGGAGGAAACTAAAGACCACAGAGGTTAAGTAATTTATCCAGGACCACCCGGCTTGCAAATGGCAGAGCTGGGATTTGAAATCAGGCCTGTGTGACTTCAAAGACTATCATTTTCTCTATACTACTATGCCTTTATGGTTAATGAAAATGTTCTAAATAATCACTTGGAATTTTTGAATACTGGCAACTCCATTTCATCAGTATATGAGGATCACTGACAGCTGTGGCTTGGTAGGATAGGGAGTCATAGCATGTCAGGTCATAGTATACCAAATAAAATCAGGATTGACTCTGGTAAATAGTAGGGAGCCCACAAAGCTGTTGTAGAGTGTTTCAGAATGACATTTCTAAGACACGAGTGCCAAATGCTTTAAGGTTCACTGAAGCATAACTGCAAGGAATGTGTCCTATGATGGGCAGCCTCAGCTGTTGCCAGTCTGGCAGTTTAAGCCAAGGCTCTACACAGTGTGTCTGAAGATCAGTGTCATAAACGGCAACAAATTCTCTGCAAAGTGTTAAGGGTGGCAATCACAGGGCGGAATTCATCTGTGCCCAATACAGATTGAACCACTGTTTGCACAATGGCTTTTGTATACACATGCAAAACCCTAATTACTCAAACATCACTAATTTGTTTTAGGTGACAGGACAATTTGCTTTATTATGCATTTAACATTTTGCTACTTTATTAAAACAACACTAAGCTGCTTTTGTGTTTCTGGTGGCACCAGAAATACAAAAATATGAACATGAGTGTCATTGTCCACAAGAAGTTTGAAATATTACGGAGGTAGGGGAAAGACTGGCACACTAATATAATCAGTGTGAGGCCGCTACCCAGAGCTTGTATTTTTCTTGTTTCCCACACATGTACACACACACATATTCAAAATAAACAAGGCTAAGAATGTGTTCCAAGGTAGAAGTTCTGGATGTGAATGTTGTGCCTGAGCGAGTCAAGGAATGTGCCACGCTCTGAGATTGAATTATGAGTCCTTTATTATGCCAGTGACCGAGAGGTGGCTAATGCCCAAAAATCTCCTGGTCCCTAAAAAAAAAGTTAGGTGGTCTTTTACACCCTAGTTTTGAAGGGGAGAGGGAACCTAGCTGAAGCAAATTTTTCACAAAAGCAGAATAAGCAAAAAAGTTAAAAGATAAACTAGTACTTGAAAAATAAAACAGTGCCAGGTGCCAGGGGTAAGTTGTCATGAAAGACATATAACTCATAGATAATGGTGGCTCTGGGCGCTCAACAGCACCTGCATTCCCAGGCTCTGCTGGTACCACTTAATTTCTTATCAACAAATGCATTCCTGGAGGTGCCAGTGCCAGCCTGCCCCAGCTATGTACTACAGTTACATACTTAATGGTGGGAAAATAACTAAAATGAAGATGCTAAGATGGAGTCTGTCTGGCTCAAGAAGCTAACATAAAGCCTCAACAGCTTTTAGTCTGAGAAAGAGAGAGTTAGTTTTAGCTAGCAAAAAGCAGGTTATCACATGAACTATCCTAAAGAAAAATTTAGTTTATCAGTTGAATACACATTAGGATAGTTGGTAAATCCAAGACACAATAGCATACGGATGTCACATTACATAACATTTCTTCACATATATATTTTCTTCTAATTCTATATAGACATATTTTCTTTATTGATAAGGCAGAGGTAAATCTCATACTAGCAAATTGAGAACACATTCAAAATCAGTGAAGAAGGCAGGAGGGGAATCAGCGGGAGACATGTAGACTCAGTATGTAGGAGTGTTTTTCTATTTAACTTAGTATTTCAGTATTAATAAATTAGATATCAAATATAATAGTAATCACTTTCATTAGACATCTATATTTACCCTACATATCCAAACCACACACATCTGGAGGCAAAAAAAAAAAAAAACAAAAAACATTCTCTCATGAATATACTTACTATAATCTTTATCTCCTGCTGTAGCAGATACTCAGGTTTCTGGGATTCTGTTTGCTAGAGATAGACCCATGGAGATATGCTGCTCCTGCAGCGTGCCCTTTAACTGGCTGGGGAACTTCAACCACCACCTTTTTGGACAGCTTCTGTACTAACAACATATAGAAATAGTCTTCTACACTACAATGCTAATACATTGCAAGGAGGTACAATGTATCATTCAGAATATGGGACTGTTTTTTGTCTTTGTGTCTAATCCCAGAAGGGCATATAATGAGCACAAAGTTTAACATTAATTATGAATTTTCATTGGCCAAAATATGGTCTCCCTCTCAACTATACTGCTCTGCAGTTTTGAATTCCAAGCTATACCTTATGTTCAATTGTGTTTAGGCCTTCAATATAAAATAAAATAATGTGCTATTTTAATATGAGGGAAGTACTTATGGCATAAGACCACTGTTATTCATATTAAAAAGTCCTCTTGCTCCAGTTAGTTAACAAGCTACAAATATTACTAACAACTTCTACTAATTATTGCCTTAGCAAAAGCAGAATTAGAGACATGGCATCTGCTTTATTTTAAACACTTTTTGATTATGGACAAAGATACAACTTTTTATTGTTTCTAGACTTAGAAATGGTAAGTCATGAAGTAACAGGCTGAGTTTCTTAAGAGCCTTTAGCAAGGGCCAATCTTTGATAACTGTGACGGATACCATGTTTAGGGTGAAATGTGGGAAAAGGCCGATAACTTGTCCCGTTGGTAAATCTAAGAAGATAGTTCTTCAAAAATCAGACAATCCATAAGGGATTACAGAATACTAAACTTGTATTCAATAATACTAACAGACCAAGTACTATACAGCATTTTAATCCCTGTTAAATACTATATTTCAATTTCTAAAGTATAAGAATGAAATTGTTTTTAGAAAGGTAAAAGCTAAAATTCTTTCTAAATTTTTAATTATTAACATTCCCATTTATCAATGCACATAATAAAGATTGAAATTTAAAGGTCAGATTGGTACATCTATTGTTCAACAGCTTTTTCATTTTCAATGTAGTCTTTGAGGTAGTTCAAAATAACTGTAGCTTTCAAAAGTTATCATAATCAACTGAAATTTCTCCAATGCATATATTACCTACTCAATTACATACTCATTTCAGTAATTTCACAATTGTTCTCCTTTTTTGATTATTTTCAGCTTATTATTTCTTCTGTATTGCAGCTTCCAGGAGGAAAGTTAATAAAGCATCTGGAAGTAACTGGAAGGTATACTCAAATAAATGAGTTTCTTTCTTTCTTTTCTTTCGGGCTATATTTCCTAGAGACAAGTCTTTAGCAGAGAAGGTAACATTAACTTTAGCACTTAAATATTTTGAAGTAACATAGTTGAGAAATACTACATTAAAAGTTATTTATTTTTTCTAAAATGTACAAGTGTCTGACTCATTTTTATTATCACTCTTGCACTGTAAGTCTGGAGAGCAGCAGGTTGCTTGAAGATGCAACAAATATTCTTTCAACACTTCAATAAACACAATGTAAACATTCACTTTAATAATGTTTCCTTTGTTAATGCAAAACTGAGTGCATTTTTTCCTTCCCTCTGGCTGAGCTATGACTAGCTGAGTAGCAACAGCAGAGTGCTGAAAGAATTTTTCAACAGCAATTTGCTTGTTCTAATTTACTTTTCAAGGTTGATGATCAGAATCATTATGTTGCTTGCAAAAAGATCTGTTTCTATTAATTTGATCCAGTCATTCCTCTTGTTCTCATCATATTTAGTTTCCCTGGCAGCTTCACCAAGTAAGTTAATTGAATCAGAAGTACCATTAGCACTTCAGTTCTACAGTTTCATATACAAAATGAACTCCTATATCCTTTAGAAACAAATCTGCTACACCTGTTGAGAAAGTATGGCTGTACTGAAATGAGTAACTCATGTATTTCCACAGATGGTGAGGAAACCTTTGTCATTTGCTCTTCAAATAATCTTTCTAGTTTAGTAGACCTATGTCTGCAACAGGCAGTACCAAAGCATTATTTGTTTAATATTCACTTTTTTAAAAAAATAAGAAATTCTAAAAAGGTCTGTTTTTTGAGCTAGAACACAATTATCACCATCATCATCAAGATCAAGAAAGAGAAATCTTGTAATTTTTGAACTATTTTCTTTCATATAATTTTACATGACGCATGCATGTTGAAAAAGCAAGGCTTATTCCAAATGTGTAATATTCTAACAACATAATGGGAAACAAGCTATTCCCTACATCTGCAATACATTTCAAAATAGCTATTTTCCCAATCTCCTTTCTGTGAGGGAATGTGTGTTACTATAGTTAAAATTTAAAGAGCCCCAGCTAAGTAGTCTGGAAGTTCAATGGTATCACATTCTTCACACTAAACACACCTATAAAACCAGTGGAGAAAAGAAACTCCAACTTCAACCACTGGCAATAGAGTCAATATAAATAAATGAGCTCACACTCTCTTTGAAATTCGGTGTAAGCAGGCTATGTGTATGAAAGGGGAAAAAAAATCAGTGTTTAAAAATAGATATGGTCATTAATTATCTCGTTATAACCTGCAGAGGGCACCCAAGTCCCTTGAAGGAAAAAGGAAAAATTTAAGAGGAATAACTAATTTTTAATTACAATAAAATTTATAAACATAAACTATCATTTAAAAGACGCCATTTAAAGGAAACAGACATGCAAATTTTCACACTCTACTGAAAAAAAATTTAGCAGGTGGTTTTTATTGTGGAGCATTCGTCCAACTATAAATGCTTATGCATCATACATCAACATTACACTGATGTCAATTATACAGATCAGCCAGGGCATTAGAGAAATCAACCAGACCTTGCAGCAACCTGCTTATAAGGCAAAAAACTAGTGATACAGATACAGCATTGTATTGTTCCAGGCTAAACACAAACACTAATGTTATATCCATAAAACAGCTGGTGAGGAAAGTTAGTGGCTAGCTGAAAAGTCTTCAGCTCCTAAGAGTTTTAATCACTTTGTTAAGAGTAATCTCACAAGTTCCTTGGCAATTCTCATTTTAATGAATCCTTTCACAACTATTAACTGTGTTTGGAAGAAAGATATTTGAATATTTGACCTTAAAATATTCCTCATCTTACATTATACTGACATGTTTCACAGGGAAACCAACCAAGTCAGATACTAGTGTTGTAAACATTTACATGAATTCATGTATTTGTATATATATGTTGTGTGTATATATATTCTGTGATGGTGAATTTTGATATATATCCTGTTTTATTGAATAAATGTAACTGCATGGAATGTAATGATTAAAAACACTAGTTTCTTAGCAACAGAGCCATGGGAACCTGCCCTCTATCTTTATAGACCTGCCATATCTTATATTACTCCTGATTTCAATTTTGCTGCTGTTTAGGAACTTGTTTTCAAAATATATTTTGAAACTAGTTATTACATTGAAACTAGAGGAAGCTGGCTTAGCACAGACATAAGTTAAAGATATGTACTTCTTTGAGTAATTGTTTCAATTTATAAATTAGATCACAAAAAGTCTGAGCTAAAAAAACTATAATAATCTAAATATATCACTTGTATTGCAAAATGCTACTAGAATAGTAATCACTAAGGATTAAAATGCTTTGTCTATAACTAATCAAAATCTAATCTTTAAAAACATATTTTATAACAAATCATGATACTTTTATTTTTTTTAAAAGGCCTTAAAATAATACACTAGAGGAATAAATCCTCTAATTTGATCACCTTGCAAGATAAACACTGACATTACTATTCAAACAGTTTTAAACAACAAATTGAGAAACCTAGCATGAAACATTAAATTTTTTTTCTCAAAATACTGTACAAAATTCCATATATTTCAAAGTTTAAAATTATGGAAGAAGAGCTACTCAGATAACTGAGAGAAAGGCAGGCAGAAAAAATTTAATTACTTGAGTGTTTTGGTAATGCTGTCATTTTCTTTTGAAAAAAGTATTCTGAAAATGAATGCGATTATTCTTATAATGGAAATCTAAGAAGCTCCTTTGCCTCAAGAAAAGAGAGTTAACAAACGAAGCTTCAAAACCTGAAGTCTTAAGGTGGGTAACTGTGTACTGCAACACATTTTCCTCAACTGGATTTCTTTATCACACAGTATGACATTTTCTAATGGTGGTGGTGTTGGTGGTAGGGGAAAGGTGAGAAGAAACCATGCCACTTAATAAAACAGAGGCATTTTCTTAGCCCAAGTTGTAGCCACTGCTTTGATTTTTGGGTTATCTCAGGACCAGTAAGTATACTCTAGTGCATGAAACAAAACTAGAAGGAGTACTTAGAATGTAGTCTTTGTTTTTTATGTAGTCTTTGCTTCTTCTTTCTTCAAAGCCTATGTTTCCTAATATCATTGTTAGGCAAAGCAAAAAGAAATGTTTGTTCTATTACGTAAGAAATAAACTTCATTTGGTATTCAATTGACTTTCTAACTTAGCAGACAGAACTTTACATCTTCAAATACTGAAAATAAATTGCATTCTTGGCCCTTGCTTTAAAAGGTTATAGAGAATAAATGCACACCCTGGTAGTGTTCTAGTGATCTCCCTAATCTCAGTTGCACTTTGTCAGAACGAGGTAACTGGTAGTTAAGTGAAATACCCTAGATCAAAGGGGGATTAATCACCAACTGAATCCTTGCTGAATAAACCTGTCATTCAAGAAAATTATTTCCACTGAACTTAGCAGAGGATTGAAGGTATTTGCATAACAGGGACCAACGTACTTCAGCCAGGTTAAAAGGTTCAGAATTCATCCCATGTTTAGCTTTTTGCCTCCTTTTCCTTTCAGCAGCCTGGTACAATGGTTTCTAATCTGATAATACAGCTAACTATCTAAATGATGTCAGAACAGGAAAGTATTGCAAAGTTTGGATGAGGGATGGATCAATTTCACTTTCAGTAACTCCTAAATCTGATTTGTTGGAATTTAAGATGTAATCCTAAAAAAGTCCCTTAAACCTGAGGACTGTTTATTAACACCCCTTTTTTGACCTTTGTCTTAGGAACAACCATTCTGTTGTGGCAGCAGTCCCTACAGAGGTCCTGGATGATAATTCCACCTACCTAGCTCCCAGGGGTAGTGTAGGAGTCTATGAATGTCTATGAAGTATTTTGAAATACTGTAACAAAAACCAAAAGAAGCATATTGGCAATTGTTACTAAGTATAAATGTCTGCCTTGAAAGATCTTAAATTATACAATATATAAAACACCATAATTTTAATCCAGTAGAAATGTTGAATTGGTGTGAAAAAATTAAATTATATTTTGGATATTTAATGTTTAACAAAAAAATTTTTTTAACAAATAAGTGTTATCAGAGTTCCTGACAAAACTACTTCAAACTTGACATTTGAATCAATTACTTAAAAAGTAAAAAAAATTGCTGCCACTGTAAGGGTATTGCCTAAGCAGTATTTTGCTGGCTTTAAGTTTTTAAAAAAATATTGTTTAGTAAAAAAATGGAGAAAAGAAGTGGTTTACCAAAAGATGAACCATCTTTTCTGTAGTTCATTCTAAAAAATTTAATATTTTTTTAACCTTTTGAGTTTATTGAAGAATAATTACCTATGTGATAGACATCAGATTTCATAATCATATTTTGGCACTAAAAGGGAATTTAGCAATTTTGCATCTACAGTAGGTCTACTTCACTGGTAGTAGTTGCTCACATTCACTGCAAATGCAAAGCATCTTTCAAGTTAAAAAATGCAAAGAATAGTTATCAAAGAAAATGAATAAAATCCATAGTGAGATAATTTTTTAGAAAATGATTGAAGTTTTAACCCAAGAAAGGACTCTTAGAGTGTCTTATAGCTTAGAATAAGAACATGTCAATCACGATTAAGCTTCTGGAATCGGAATCCCTTTGAAATGCAGCTGTTTCTTCTTTAATTGTGGCAGCGGACTCTGAAGAAAAGAAAGGTCCAGCCTTAAGGATGAGTAAGGAATACAAAATAGCTCAGGATTAGTTGTGGAGTTCAAAGGTCGCTAATTACACTAAGGAGTTCCCAGACACAGAGAAAACATTAAACAGGTCACCTACCAAACGGGAAACAGACTTTGTCTTCAGAAATTATCCTGAAGTGACAGGTTTCTAGACAAAATCAAAAGCATCACAGTGTGCCCAGCTGATCTCAATGGGATGAAAACCCAAGTTGGTTTAGTTCTGTAGCACTATGTTAGAATGGAATGGCAACAGATGGCATCAGGTTCCCCAACACCTCACCACTTTTCCAGGACACCCTAGATTTTCCTCCAGTTTCTAGAAATGTCAAATTGAAGATTCATTTATTTTTCTAACTGCTTATGAAGTTTTGCCTATGGGATTATTATATTAACACTTTGCCTACCCACTAGATAATATGCCTCTTGCTCACCTTTGTGTATTTGGTAAACGTACAATCAAGATTCCAAATGACTCCATTATCATTAACTTATTAACATAAGTGAAATGTTAAGCTTTATTTGAGTTTAAGAGAGATCAAATAACTTACAGGGAATGGTATCTTCTTTCAAAAGGAAAGTGTTGACTGCTGATTACCTATGATTAAGCTAGAATAACAAGTTAAAGTCTTGGTCAGGCAGTTATTCTCTTTTCTTTGTTACTTGGCATGATTTTGAACAGAGAATCTTATGCCATGATAATGCTTTGCAGAAAGTGAGTTTATAATGATTAGGACTGACCTTAATTAAAAAATCATATTTCAAATCCTAAATTTATATGCACTATCTTTTAAACTATCATGCTCTCTTTTGAGGAGTTAGAGCTTTTCTAAGTCTTCCCTTAGAAGACTCATTAAAAAAACAGAACTAAAGATGTAATTAAAATGAATATTAATCTTTAATGCATATATTTTTCTCATCTGTAAAAAGAACCTTGACATGAATAAAGTTTCAAGGTTCTTGAGATTTCATGTTTTCTTGCATGGTCACTTAAAGTCCAACTTGACAATGAACTGCTCTGAAAACAGAATATGACACATAATTGCAGAAGCAGGTAGAGAATAAAGATGATGACTAGATGGTTTCTGAAGAAATCAAGAGAATGGTAAGAAAGTGAGAGTGACAGCTTTAAGGAGATATATACTACATGTGACTAAAATAAGCTTAAATGATACTCTCTATCCACAGAGTGCCTTTTGAATTTTTACCTAAATTCATTAATTTTAACTTAATAAAACACAGAAAGAGAAATATTAGATCTAAATTATCTTTAAAAAATTTGGCTGCAGATATTAAACGATTACAAAACACTATGATCATCCTCTGAAGGTATCCCACACATCTTAATATGGCTATTGACATCCTAAGCAAAATGTCAACATGGCAGATTAACAAGCTTACTTAAAAACTAACTCTAGAACAGAGATTACACACTTTAAATAGAATTATGCAGATTCTTTATTAGTCAATAGGATAGTTCTGATTAAGAAGAACAGGTTACTATTTAAAAATTTTTCCTTTGTCTCAGTTGGCTGCTTTTGAAGAGGTAGTTGTTTCTAACACCAGTCTCTGGTATTCTGTAACAACACCTTATACTACGAGCTTAGTATTTAGATATGGAAGAGAAAATAGTTTTTATCTTGCACAGAACTAAAAAAGAGGCGGACCCTTTATTCAAAGCTCAGTATAGAAAAGGAGCTGTAATCGACTGGCAATGTTTGCCACGGAAACATTAGGAAACAAGTGTGGCTGGGTGTCCCAGAACTAGTCTAAAATGAGCCCAAGAGAATAATTACTTTAAACATTCTGAATTATACTGGCATAAAATCAAAGGGTAACAAAATTGGAGACATTAGCTTTCAAAACAACCCTTCAAACTTTATCAGACTACACACACTAAATACGAGTAGTTTTACAACTGAATCATTCAATGGTTTTTCACTCAATAGGTTATATGCATCCACATTAAAAATATAAGATTATGATTTCCTTTAAACCATTATTATATAATCCAATTTAAACATGAGAATATCACAGTAATAATGATCCATATGTTACTGGAGCAGGGGCTTTAGAATTCCAGATGTAATAATCAGAAGAAATTAGTTTCCGGTCTAAAGAAAAGAAAAAGAAATTAATGATAAGACTATTTTATCTTAGCAAAAATTCAATGAAAGCAAACTTATGGTTTTTAGAAATTGTGAAATATAGTTATCCAAGGCAATACTTTGAATTATTTATTTTAATTTGACATTATCGAGACTTTAACTTTTACCATTTTACAAATATGGACTCATTAAAGATCTGAACAATCCATCTTTAACCTTATATCAAATATCTCTCATTATGCCAAATCTGCCAATTTTATCCTCATGTTTTCTTTAAAATCTTTTTCTTATGTACTATTATTCTGACTGCAAACACATTAAAATTTTTTCATTGGTTTCTCTTCAATAACCTTATCACCATGGCCCTGATTCAGGTCTTGCTATTCTTTACCCAAAATGTCAGATATATAAAATAATACCCAACTTCGTGGCAACATTCTAAATAGTTTGCTTCACTGGTTTCTTATTACAGTTCTGATCAATTTAAGTCTTTTAAAAGACAGCTTTGAAACTCTACAAAAATGGCAACCTATTCGAACTAAAGTTTTTCGATATGTAAAGTTGAGATAATAATGCTCATTTGCAGTTACACATGTAAATTCTCACACACACATATAAATATCCAATTCAGCCTTTTCTATCTTTCTTCTTTGTGCCCTTCTTCATAATGAAAAGAATATAGACTATATTGTCTTTTTGTTTTCTTCAGTTTGAGAAGTCAGTAATAATGAGAGCCAAGACAGCATACTGTTAAGTGGACAGGTTCCAGAGCCAGACTGCTTGAATATTTGACTCCCAGTTCTGCCATTTGCTAGCTATGGGACCCTAATCTCTCAGTTCCATCAGTGACCTCATCTGTAAAATGGAGCTAACACTTACATAGGGTGCTGTGAGGATTAATGAGGTATTATACATAAAACACTTAGAACTTTGCCTGGCATATAGCAAGCAATAAGTATTAGTCACTATTTAAATTAGTATTATTACTATTTTTAAACTAAGTTGTATATTTTAAAAATAGATTTTATTGTCAAGATGATGGCAAAATAAAGGTCTTACATAATTCACAAACTGGCAGTCACATTTTGAAAGTAACAGAGGAAAGAAACGATGGGTCACAATATTAATTTAAAATGAGTTCGTTCATTCAGTATATTTTGAATTAAGAAGCAGGTATATTCTCATCATGTATTATGCTCTCTGGAAATTACTGCAATATGTTTAATTAACATAAATCAATTAAAATATTTTCCCATAGGCAATCTAAACTATTGGTCTGTTTGCTTTCAGTCTCCCATATATACAACAAAAAAATGATGTAACAGAAAACACAGGGTAAGCCTAGGATAGTAAAGAATACTCATTTATTCTGGTTACATTACACAGAAGTTATATTGTCATGCACAAGTAATTGCTTAGAATTCTGTAGTTCTGAGTTCTCTAAGTCTCTTGAAATGTTCAGGTAGAGTCCTTTCCTATTCTTCTTAGAATCCTAATCCTTAGTTTAAGAAATATTTATCTAACTATAATAATAAAACCGTGTGTAAATTAGGATTCTTATCCACATATATAACAGCTTTATTCTCCTTGATGGATGAGGTAAAAAGGTTCTGCTTAAGTTTAGATAATTTTACCTCATTCTAGCTACTTTTTTGTTATATATTTCTATTTTATCTGAATTAAATAATTTTGATTCATTTATAATTTGTTTTTTGTCTCATCATATTTTCCTGTGTTTCGTGTGTGTGTTTGTGTGTGTGCGTATACACATAAAGATCTGTACTTTACCAACCATTAAACATACTAAAGACAGAAAGCATCTTTTTTTATTGTCTTCCTATTGATACAATAGAGAAGGTGCTAGATAATTCTTATTGATTGTAACATTTGCTAAAGATATTTAAAATTTTAAAATAAGAATCATCTCTAGTATCTACTAAATCTATACTATATGCTAAGCATCATACTATGTCAATATAATCTTATTGAAACCTCATAACAATACTGAGGTAAATTGTACTATTATTTCCATTTTATAGACAAGAAAATTAAAACTTCAGGAAGTTCACTAACTTGCCAAAGTTATACAGCTAATGAAATGGCTGAGCCAGGCTTAAGCTTTGTCTGTCTAACACCACAGTCTCTGTGAACCATCTCTGAAGAAAATAAACAGAGAAAAACAAATCTAATTTTATATTAAAGTTCACCTCTATCCCAATCTTTGCTCAGTCAGACCACTTTATAAACAAGAGAAGGCAGAGGGCAGTGTAAAGTATACAAACTGTTATATCGGGTAGGATCAGTCCAGAATTTTATAAATTGGGATTATTCTCCAATGTCTAAGTTCTGTTACATTCAAATTTTACCTTAGGTAATAACTCCAAACACCATTTTAATTCCCTTAAGTTAGTTTGAATCTGTATAACTTACATGCACTTATTTTTGGTTTTCCTGATGCAAAAACTTGAACCGAATGCTGATCTGCATAACACCCAGTGAGTGTGTAATCCAAGATCCTAAAATGCAGCTAGAAAGGAGAGAGAAATGTACCAAATTAAGGTGATTATTTGGTAAAAAGGACGGTTACATTTTTTCCCTTGACCCAATTTTAGGGAATTTATTTTACACAGTTCACAAAATAAAAATCATAAATATTAAACTGGAATTGTGTATGCGTGTACGTGTGTATGTGCGTGCACATGTGTATACAAACACACACACACAATTTTTTTTTCCCTTTGCATTAGGGCCATTTCTTTGTAAGGCTGTCATAATGAAGTACTTAACATATAATATGCACTTCACTAACAGCTCTAATACATACTCCAAGGTATGCTGAGTAAACTGAGGTTCAAAGATGCAAGGAACTGGCATCCCAGCATGTAGGCAGCAGAGCTGGCATTTGAACTCACACCTCACCGACTCCAAAAGCTGGTGCTGTCTCCCGCTATGCTGCTGTCTTGTATACTGTATATTCTCTTCTATCCCTAGCGCTATGTGGTTATGATATATTCTAGATCATAAGTCTTTTACAGGCAGGAAAGTATACACCTTCTAGCCAAATAAAATGTAATTACAAAAACAGGAACATCAGTTTAGCTTGTGTTTAAGGGGAATGAGCTTCTCTACTTAAATTTTCAGAAGGGTGAAATTTAACTTTTTTAGAACTAAGCTTAGGAATTACCTTTTCCCTCACCTAGAAAATCTTTCTAAAACATACTCCATAATTCCTGGATTTCATTGACAATGTGGGGCTATCACTACAAATGTCAATTATCATACTGTGCTCTAAGAGAGTGAATCATTAGTACCTCCTCAGAAGACACAGTACCAGGGTCCCTCTAGGTTACAATGACATTCACATGGCCTACGAAAAAATCTGTTTCATGGAGCTCCAATTCTCCTTTGCCGTGATTCTCCTTCACTCTGCTGCTAAATGCTCCAGATTTTTACAGTATCCTGATACCCTTTTATGTATTTTTCTCCTATCTCTATTCCCTGAAAATTTCTCCTGTTTCCTAACTTTCTCCATTAATTATCAAACTAACTGATCACAGGCATAAGATGTGATTTAGAATATAATGCAATTTTCAGATCTTCTCAGCAATTTTTTTCCTGTTGCAACTCAAATGATCTCTGATAATAAAAGGCTTTTGCTTGCTTTTTTGGTATAATTCTGAATGCTAGAAGTTATGACAAGACTGACTTTCACACAACTAAGATATTGTAAAACACACTTAGACCATTCAGTGAACACAAATATATATTACATGCTTTCAGTGTGAGTGAGCAACTGGTTAGTGATGGGAATGAATAGAAAAATTATAATTCCTTTGAAGGACATACAATGTGTGGTAACATTCCACATTTTCTGAAAGGTATCTGAAGTAGGAATTTTTATAATAATCCTTCAAACAAAGCTTCTGGCAAACAGGTAAAGCCAAGATAGAAGAAATGAATTATCACCAGAATACTTCTGACTTCACTACTTCACCTAATCGCCTGTATTTCTTGACTTTGATTTCTTTACTCCATTTTATTTAGGTTTTCTTGCTACCTTTCTAATCACTCCTTCAATTCCCTCATTTGTTCTTCTGAATCTTCCTGTATTATCTTACCTTCTGATCTTATTTATTTCAACTGCCTCAACTATTTCTTCTCTGTGGATAATTCCCTTTTTTTTTTTTTTTTTTGATGAGCAAACTGAACTTTAATTTGCTTATCTGAAAGGCTTGCTCTTCATTATTGGCACAGGCCACATCTATTTACACAGAATCATCGTACAGTATTTGCAGCAAGATGCTAGACACAGCATCATTCTGGATAAGCAATGAAGGGATAAGAACAGGCTAGGGAATAAAGCTCTGAAATCAGTGTCAGCAGAAATCTGAAGGTATGTGTACAAGGAAGGATAAGGGCCAAATCTGTCTTCCATCTGCCCCTATTTGTTATTCTCTGGTAGTTTAAGATCTGAATGAACGCTGGGCCCACTTCTCCTGATCCACACAAGGAGCCAGTCCAGACTTTCTAGCCCACAGGACATTGTCACAGGCGAAGTATGAGGCTCGATTGAGGTGACTAACAGTGATGCAAAATCTCAGGACAACATCTGATAGGTGAACAGCTCTTTTGGCTGACTCAAGGGCATCTGCTGAGTTACCCAGGTGTAGAAGCTTTCTTCCAAGGCTCAGGTGGCCCTCCAGCTGTCGAATCTGTTTCTGTAACTCAGGACTGGCTCCATGCCTCTGTAGCACATGGCCAAGAAGAGAGCAAGCATACTGAGCGGCCCTACACAGCCACTCCCGGGCTTGGCTCTGAGCACTGAAGCGGACCCAGGCGTCCATGACAGCAGCAGCCCCCGAAAATTCCTAATCCTTGTATACAGCTGAGCCTTCTCTTAAGAATCAAGCTTTAGATTTTTAGCTATCCACTGAACATTTACAATGGGCTATGTTGCTATTACCAGCAAGAAATACGATATGAAACCCATTCCTTCCCAATTTTCTCCATATCTATATTTTATTTTAAGTATGTTCATCCATTCAGCAAATATTTATGTGCTAGGTCCTGGACTAGATATTTGGAATAAAACGATGAATGAATGAATTCATGTCTTTATCCTCCTAAAAAGCGTCCAGTTTGGTTTAAGTTCCGTATTATTTGGAATAATACCATTCCTTGTGTCTGTATTGAATTAGTGGTCAAGGTTTTACTTTTATCATGGCTTTTATAGCAGTCCCTTCACTTTTCTCTCTTCCTTCCGCTTTCTGTTGACACTACACTAACTCAGCATTATTAACTCATTATAATATTAACCTTTCATATGGAATATTAATATGCTGTAGAATGGCTTGTCTCTAGATTTTTACTTACCTTCCTTACATCCATTCCAGATTAACATTCATGAGGTATCACTTGTAAAAGACTACCCCCCTACTTAAAAAAATACATCATCAGCCAAAGGAATAAAAGTCAGATTCAAACCCCCTATAATTTGAATCTAAATTATGTATCCAGTCTCATATAGTACTACTATCTTTAGCATTGGTTAAAATAAGCATGCCTTGTTTATCTTCACTCTTTTAAGTAATTTCTTTACCTAAACAAATGTTAGTCCACCTTCAAGTCTTCATATTCATGCATATCTAGGCCTCAGAGTTTGGCTTAAACTTCACCTCCACTGTAAAGGTTTCCACGACAACTTCAGCTATATGTAGCACTTTTTTCTTGAAATACCAAAGCTGATAGCACTGACAAATAGTTGACATGACACTGAAAAATTCCTGGAGGGCAAGGACTACATCTTTTATTTTTTTGTATATAAATCTCCATTTTTTTGTTGTTGTTGTTGAGACAGAGTCTTATTCTGTGACCCAGGCCAGAATGCAGTGGCACAATCATGGCTCATTGCAGCCTCAAACTCCTCAGGTTCAGGTGATTCTCTTACCTGAGCATCCCAAAAATCTGTGACTAAAGGTGTGTACCACCATGCCCAGCTAATTTTTCTATTTTTTATAGAGGCGGGGGCTCACGATGTTGGTAAGGCTGGTCTTAAACTCCTGGGCTCAAGCAATCCACCCTCCCAAAGTGCTGAGATTACAGGTGAGAGCCACCATGCCTGGCCCAAATCTCAAATTTGATAACCGAGAGCTGAGGAGAGTTAGGTTGAGTTAGGGTATTTAGGTTAACTGCCTTTTTTTTTTTTTTTTAAAAAAAAAAAAACCAAAAACCAAAAACCTTTTTTTAAAAGAGACGTGGTCTCACTCTGCTGTCCAGGTTGCAGTGCAGTGGCACAATTTAGCTCACTGTAACCGTGAACTCCTGGGCTTCAGCGATCCTCCTGCCTCAGTCTCCCCAATAGCTGGAACTACAGACACCCACCACCATGCCTGGCACCTTAAAATGTTCAAGTATTAAGTGAAGTAGAATGATTAATACTAAACAAAACAACAAAAATCAAACAAAAATCCAAAAGAGAACTTAGCCCAGATGAAAAGAACAGAATTCTAAAATAATTGGTGGAAAATATAAAATAATCAACTAGAAATATGCGATTTAGAAACAAAGGAAGGGGCTCTACTGTAGTGAGCCGTATAAATAGGTTTACCTTTAAATATGCTGTTTCTCCAATACAAATTGGGTCAAATGGCTGCTTCTCATGGCTCTTGGCTCCAAAAGTTATAGTTCCAGAAAGACTAATTTCCATTGATTTTGGGAACTTCTGGCCTAAAACACAAACATATCAATCAACTATTCTAAATTAAGTAGATTCTACTGCAAATGATAAGAAAAAAATCAATAAACAAAACTTGCTCACCAATAATCCAGATCAATAAGCTTTTCTCTCGAAATACTTCGAGTTGGCCAAAACTAGTTTTGTATTCCAAATGTGTAATTGGACCTCTTTAAAAAGAAAAGGACAAAATAGAGGAAAATCACAGATACAACAGTTTTAAGAGATCTAAGTCAAACTTGGTCACTGTTACTTAATACAAGGACATCATAAAAGCAGATCTGTATTTAAGTTTGCTGAATAGAACAAATAATGAATATTAAATCTTGAAAAACACCAAAACCCACAGAAATATTTTTGGTGATGATATGTATTTCATTATTAATCCTTAAGACAACTATGAAATCATATGAAATGTATTAATATAGTCACATGGGTTGCTATAACATTAAAACTATAATTTTACTATACATGTAGATATGCTTTGACAAAAAAAAACTATGCTGCAGAATAAATTTAAAAGTAGAACTAATAAGAAAGTAATATTACATTTGGCTAATTTACCAGATGTTGACAGTTTGGTTGGACTTGTATACAGAAAAATTGCTAGAAATAAAGCCAGTAGAAAAATAATCCCTGAGGAAGCCATAATAGCTTAAGAGTATAATTTACTAGTAAGTTTAACTAGAAAGATAAAGACATACTTAAAAGTAAACAGATTATTTTTAGGACTACATCATGAAAGTCAGCATTTGTTTGAATAAAATAAAATTCTTTAGACCTTAAAAATAATGTAAAAGACAAAGACAATGTATTATGGGGCAGTGGGAATGTATTAAGGAAAGTAGAAATTATGGCAGTATGTATTTTATTCCTACCTATTGAAAAAAGGTATATGAGCTTCACAGAATTCAAAATTATTTTTCACACTTTCATGAAGTTTTAAATTAACAGTTATTCTTAGTTGTACTTCTTCCTCCTTCATTTGGTAAAAACCCAAAATTGGTGGGACAGGGACCTAAAAAAGAAACATAAATGTCTATATAATTCTCAGGTTAATGGGTCTAAAACACCAAAAGTAACTGAGAAAATAGCTACTTTTAATGACTTAGGGGTTATTCCAAGTTGTTTTGGTAAGAACAATGATGAATATGTATTCATTATAAGGATAAGAATTCGTCTATCTCTTTCTGTTTTCAGAGATGAGAAAACTGCTTTACAAAAGTGTCCAATGCATTCTTGTTCCTACACTTGCTCCTCCAGGCTCCCATCTCCATGTTCTCTGACCTGCAGCAAAGGGCATACAGTAGGCATACTATACTGATCACTGCCAATCTGCCCACAGCTCCTGTTGCTCCAGCTGAATCCCATAAATTCTCCAATCCCCCAGTTCAGCAGTAACTTACTTGGTTGGTCAATGAATAACAAACTGAAGGGGAAACAACTTGTAGCCTAGGGTGAGCCAATCACGACTTCTGGTGCATTTGAAGTAAGACACAAAAAGACTACTTTTACAGTGCAAGCCCTAGAGCTGTAAGGTCATGTGTAAGCAGAGACAGTCAGCTGAAAAAGACTGAGAAGCAGAGATGTGATGGGGTGGACTCTGAGTACAGAGTGGTATTGATTTTAATTTTCTAGTTCTAGTCCCATTAGAAGTGGGTCTGCTTCTTTTCTTATCCTTAAATGGCAATGAGATTGCCTGTTGCATTCTCAAAATAAATTCGTTCTACGTAAACTAGCTTGAATAGGTTTTTCTTTTTCTTTTTTTTTGAGATGGAGTTTCGCTCTTGTTACCCAGGCTGGAGTGCAATGGCGCAATCTCGGCTCACCGCAAGCTCCACCTCCTGGGTTCAGGCAATTCTCCTGCCTCAGCCTCCCGAGTAGCTGGGATTACAGGCACACACCACCATGCCCAGCTACTTTTTTTTTTTTTAAGTAGAGACGGGGTTTCACCATGTTGACCAGGATGGTCTCGATCTCTTGACCTCGTGATCCACCCGCTTTGGCCTCCCAAAGCGTTGGGATACAGGCTTGAGCCACTGCGCCCGGCCTGAGTAGGTTTTTCTAACTTACTCATTCACAACTAGGACAAGAGATAAATGGTATAGTAGAAAAGGGGTTTGGGAGTCTGAAAAATTTGGGCTCAAATGCAGGTAGTGACATTTATAAATTATACGACCTGGTGCAAGTCATTTCACTTCGAGACTCTCTTCAGCTGTAAAATGGGGATAATGTCTACTCTAAAGACTGTTAACAGTACTAAAGAAAATACATGTAAGTGCTTAGGACAATGTCTGACACAGAAGCAGTTATTCAATAAACAATAAATAGCTATTAATAATAATATATATCTGTAATTCAGGTTGCCTGCAATGAGAGGTTATTTTATGTTCATGGTTAAAACCATGACTAAATCATACCAAAATCTATCCCATGACCATGAGCTCCTCTTTAGGGAACACTAAAAAAAAAAATCAATTATTTTGAAAGCCATTTACAAACAATTACAGACACCAAAGAGGTAGCTTATTCAAAGAAGGGAATCTTCATCTTATTTATTTATTTATTTTTTGAGACAGTCTCACTCTGTTGCCCAGGCTGGAATGCAATTGTATACATCTCTGCTCACTGCATCCTCTGCCTCCCAGGTTCAAGCATTTCTCTTGCTTCAGCTGCCTGAGTAGCTGGGATTACAGGCGTGACATCATGCCCGGCTAATTTTTTTGTATTTTTAGTAGAGACAGGGTTTCACCATGTTGCTCAGGCTGGTCTCAAACTCCTAACCTCAAGTGATCCACCCGCCTCAGCCTCACAAAGTGCTGGGATTACAGGCATGAGCCACTGCACCCGGCCTGAATCTTCATCTTCATCCATCAATTATTGTCTGATAAATAGAACTTTTTCTAAGTTTTCATAACCAAGAGTATGAATTATTTACTTATCAAGAGTATTTATGAATATAAAGATTAGTAAACTCTCAAGATTCTAAGGTTGTTTACCTGGGAAGTGTAGTAGCATAAGTTGAATGACTCTAAAGGTGGAGTGAATGGAAATTTGTAAGGCCCACTAAATGCAGAGTCATCCATTGCATCAATGCTACTAGAAGTCAGAATTGCAGAGTCAAGAGAAGTTACACAAGGATGAACTAGAATATCTTGAAGTGGAGATCCATTGGTGGGGAGACTCAAGCTGATGGTAACATTTGGCATGATTCCTTCCAAATCACACTGAAATGCAAACAGAAAGATTATCACCAAAATCTTAGAAGCAAATCTGTTTGAGGCTTTTCTAAATTTATCAGTCATTTTCCCCAACTTAACTCACTTTTCTCTAGGTACTGTTTTCTTTGCTTTCTGTGTTATTAATGGTTTCATCATGTTCTCAGATACCCAAGCCGCAGAAGAGGAGAGCCCTCATATACTCCTTTGCTTATCTCTAAAACTCTGTTACAAAGATAATTAAATCTTCTGACTTCTCTCCATTCCTGTTGAACCACACTGATACAGGCCCTTACAATTTCTGCCATAGCCCTCTAAGTATTTCTGGACTTGCTTTCCCTTAAGTCAGTCCTCTAATCCTCCATCAATGCCAGAGCTATCTTAACGAAACACAATTTTTATTATATTTTTTCCATGTTCAAATCCTTTCAGTGATTCAATTCTGTATTACTTGTAAAGACTTTCATTGTTTGGCTTTCATCTACCTCCTTTTTATTTCCCTTCAACTTTTATTTTAAGTGCTGGGGACATGTGCAGGTGTGTTACATAGGTAAACGTGTGCCATGGTGTTTTGCTGCACAGATCATCCTATCATCTAGGTATTAAACCCAGAATCCATTTGTTATTCTTCCTGATGCTCTCCCTCTCCCAGACCCCACAACTGACAGGCCCCAGTGTGGTGGTTCCCCTCTTGTGACCATGTGTTCTCATTATTTGGCTCCCACTAAGTGACAACATGCAGTGTTTGGTTTTCTGTTCCTGCACTAGTTTGCTGAGGATAATGACTTCCAACTCCATCCACGTCCATGCAAATGACATAATCTTGTTCCTTTTTATGGCTGCATAGTATTCCATGGTGCATATGTAACACATTTTCTTTATCCAGTCTATCACTGATGGGCACTTATGTTTATTCCATGTCTTTACTGTTGTGAATAGTGCTGTAATGAACATACATGTGTATGTAGCTTTATAACAGAATAATTTATATTCCTTTGAGTATATACCCAGTAATGGAATAACTGGGTCAAATGATATTTCTGCCTCTATGTGTTTAATTGCCAGTCTTCCACAATGGTTAAACTAATTTACACTCCTACCAATACTGTAAAAGTGTTCCCTTTTCTCTGCAATTTTGCCAGCATCTGTTGTTTTTCAATTTTTTAATAATAGCCATTCTGACTGGTATGGGATGGTATCTCATTGTGGTTTTGATTTGTATTTCTTGAATGATCAGTGATGTTGAGCTTTTTTTCATGTTTGTTGGCTGCATGTATGTCTTCTTTTAAGAAGTGTCTGTTCATGCCTTTTGCCTACTTTTTAATGTTTTTTTTCATCTACCTCCTTAATCATTTTCTACCATGCAACTCACACGTAGTCACATTGGACTCTTGCATTTCCCTAACTAAATCATACTGTCTTATACCTCCATATGCACCTTTGCATGTGCTATTCCTTCCACCTGCAATGTTCTTTTCTCCCTGTAAATGCTTTCATTCTTCAGGTCTTAGTTCATTTGATGCTTTGTGTGAAGCCTTACATTCTGTATCACCTCTACAGCCTACCTTTGCTATGTAGAGAAGCCCAGGATCTTCTTTCCTATGTAGTGTGGGTTAGTTTGCCAATGAGAGGTACTTATGAGGGATTCACAAGGGAAAAGGAAAAAGGAAGTAATTATTTTGGAAAGGTCTTTAAAGCCAGATAAGATAGCTTCTCACACCTGTCCTTGAGCTCCTACTTTGAGGCCAAAGTGGCCAGATGCCGCACTTCTGCAGACCTTTCTTTGAATTTCCACTGTGAGGTAGTAACAGAAATTTCTCAGACTTCTTTGTGAACTTTTGCTCCTCCAGTCTCCAGACTAAAGTCTTTAGTGACTGTTTCTGAAAGGCTACAAGTAGAGGATCAAAGACTTATTCCCTCAGTGTCTCTTGAATGAGCCCTAATTTCTGTATTAAACATCTTTACTTCCATAAATCTTATAGTGGCTTTTTCTGGCCCAACCAGACTGACACACTTCACTTGCATTTGTGTAGGCAGTCAGGGTCTTTGTACCTCAACTCTAAATTCACCTCTGTTAAAGTCTAAATCAAAATGACCAACTGAGCCCTATAAGAATTACTGATATCTTCTGTTTCACCAGAACTACACAATATTTTAAGAGTTAGTGAACTCTGAAAGCATAACACTTAGCTCCAAATGCACCATCATATAGATTGCACCATATATTAACTGTCTACTATCTACAGGTATCTGTGTCCATTTCTCTCTTCAAGGTTTAAATTCTCTGAAAGCAAGAATCTTTACATTTTTCTTAGTACCTCTAGTGCCTGACACATTTCTATGCACAGGAAACAATAATAAAAAACACTTGCTGAGTGGCTATCTTTTTCTAATTTCTAATATGAAATGTTTCACCTTTTAATGTTTACCTACTGTTCAACATGTGTGGGAATTCACTATGTATCTGCTATACAATGTAAGTACTTAAAGAGCAGGCAGGAATTACAAAGAGTACTATATATAAGAGGTGCCTTTTTAAGGTCTGTCAGTGACAATTACAATAATGCCAGTCACATTAAAAATAAATATGCCAAATACTCTTACTTTATGTGTTTTTTTTTTTAGACGGAGTCTCACTCTGCGACCTAGGCCAAAGTGCAATGGTGCCATCTCAGCTCACTGCAACCTCCGCTTCCCGGGCTCAACCTCCCAAGTAGCTGGGATTACAGGCGCATGCTGCCACACCCAGCTGATTTTTTTTTTTTTTTTGGTATTTTTAGTAGAGATGGGGTTTTACCGTGTTCCCCAGGCTGGTCTCAAACTACTGAGTACGGGCATTCCAACTGCCTCCGCCTCCCAAAGTGCTAGGATTACAGGTGTGAGCCACTGCACCTGGCCTAATAATCTTACTTTAAAACTTAAAAAGATATTTGAGGTTTCAACTTTTAAACCATCTGCTATTCTCTATATGTGAACTAATAAGAATAAGCGGAAGTAATTTTCTTTTTGATAGATATTTATGGAGATAAAATAAGCAAACATCAATAGTAAATACCATTAAAATTTCAAAATATTCAGTTTATACTTAGTAAATTAATCTCTTAACATTCTTAAAGGGTCAGAGAAACATCAACCATCATGGAACCTGCCAATGAATCTATCTAGGCACTTAAAATGCCAGATCATCAGTCATTTATTACAGGATGAGAATATTCATTCTAGAAGGAATTGTTGTACTACCCTTTAAACCAATCTGGCATATGTAAACCCAGACTTTAAAAGTAGAAGTTGTTTAAAAAAAAAAAAAAGGCACCTAAGAGTTTATCTCATTTTAAAAATTAGAAAAGATTCACAAAATTGTGTAACTTTCTAAAGATAGAACAGAAAATTAGTGGTAGAGTGAGGTCTAGAACTTTGGTTCACTGGCCTTTGGCTCACCAGGTTTTCTATCAGAGTAGGATAAAACAAAGATGATTATTTCCACTTACAATGGGCTTCACAATAAAATTCCTTTAAATAGTAAGCTCCTAAACTACTTAAAGAATGTTTAGCTAACAGTTATACTATGTACATGCAATTTTAAAGAAACATTTAATATATAGGTTAAGGTATACTCCCATTTTTTTTCTTCCCTTAAGAACATTTTTTAAACAAAAAAGTTGTCCATCATGATCATCTGTATCAGGACTAAGAGTAGAAACCAATCTGAAATTCCCCTAAAAGTAAACTAGGGTCAACCTATCCATGAAAGGAAACATTAAATGCCATGATATTAATTAGCATTCCATCATATATAACATATTCCATGTTTATTGCTACAAAATGAAAAAAACAGAAATGATGAATTTTTCCATTTTCTTTTTTTTGAGACAGAGTCTAGCTCTGTCACCAGGTTAGAGTACAGTGGCATGATCTTGGCTCACTACAACCTCCACCTCCCAGGTTCAAGTGATTCTCATGCCTCAGCCTCTTGAGTAGCTGGGATTACAGATGTGTTCCTGTAGAGACGGGTTTCACCATTTTGGCTAGGCTGGTCTTGAACTCCTGGCCTCAAGTGATCCACTCGCCTTGACCTCCCAAAGTGCTGGGATTACAGGAGTAAGCCACTGTGCCGGACCCTATTTTTCTATTCTCATTTCACTGAACTTATGAGAAAAAAGATTGCACTACTGTAAAATTTAAGAATGACATCATCCATGAACATCTCAATTTTGGAGCCATTTACAATAGTTATTTCTAATAAAGTGAATAACTGGAGTGTATTTTTGACCATGATAAATGTGAGTTTAAAATAGACACAAAAACTTTTAGGTAATTTTAACATTAAACAGGAACATAATAGACCCAATTTTTGTGTCAGGACTGTTCTAATTCTCTCCTCTTGAAATCTAGTTTTATTGATAAGATTTATATATAGCCACACAACATTAAATTTGATATATAAAAAGTGTATGTAACTGCAGAGAATAAAGAAAGATAGAAAAAATAAAGAAAGGAGAATATTATTAATATAAACTTGTAGAAAGTTTACTTGGAGGATTTTATTTTATTTTTTATGGATTTTATTTTTGATCATTATTCAACATGGCAATAATCACTGCTAACTGTATTGTTATTTCCATTGTCTTGAAGTTATTTGACACTACTCTTTTCATAGGTGGAGCCTAATTCCATGCCCCTTGAATATGGAGCACTTAGTGACTTACTTCTAATAAACAGAAAGTAGCGGAAATGATATTACGTAATCTCTCAGGCTAGGTAATAAAAAGAATAACATCTGCTTGCCTGTCTGTCTCTCTCTCTCTCTCTCTCTCTCTCTCTCTCAGATCATCTGGTCTGAGGAAAGCCAATCACCAAGTGTGAGGACACTTAAGCAGCCAGTCGAGAAGTCCATGTGGAAAGTAACTAAGGCCTTCTTCCAGTAACTAGGACCAATTTGGTTAGCCATGTGAATGAGTCATCTTGCAAGTCGATCTTCCAGTCTCAGTCAGACCTTCAGATGACTACGACCTCAACCAAAAACCTGACTGCAACTTCATCAGTGATGCTACACTGAAAGTTTCCAGCTAAACAAATCCCCACAGAAACTATTAAAATAATAAATGTCTATTTTGGGATAGTGAGACAATTCATTACACAGTCACACATAACTAATATAATTGGTAAGGAATATAAAAAGATAACATTATAAAATTCTATATTACTCTGCCATTTAACAACTGCTGAAGATAAAAAATAAAAAATGTTATTTAAAACACAACTAGCAAATTTTACTTTTCTTCATATGTTAATAAAACGATAAAGCAAACACCAGAGAAAAATCTCACCTTGCAAGTCACTGTTCCAACAACTTGCCATGTATCCGCTATACCCTGTTTATCATATTGCATGGATTTTACTTTCTCGGTGATAGAAATAGAAACTTGTGGTTTTCCTTTGTAAGTTCCAGGTTTCCAAGCTGGCTGTTTCTGTGGCTGAGTCACAGATGCAAAATTGGTATTATCTAATGAATTCTGTAAGTTGGCATCTAATACAGTACCAAATGGACAGGCCTGCAGAAGCAAGTCAGGCAACTGGCTCAATTTTGTATTTAGCTCATTGTCATTTTTTTGACCTGAATAAAGAAAATCCTGTATCCCAAAAAGAAGTTCAAAGCCTTGTGAAACTCCACTAACACTAATTAATGGTGGACGAGGGGACAGAGTTTGTTCAACTAGTGGAACACAAGCATATATCATGTCATTCTTCAGAAAAGCAACAACTGGCCAGAGTTCTTCACCTCCTACCAGGAGTCCATAGACGGATGTTTTATTGATGCGTGAACAGCTATCACGACTCTCCACGAAGTCCTTATCATCATCCAATAATCTAAGTTCAAAGAGCAGTGCTTTAAGAAAGGGACCATCTTCAGGAATAGGCACATAACTTGCTCTGTTGAAGACTCTGGCTCGTTTTTCAACGGTTGGATACCGTCTACATTATGGAAACAGAAACATTATAAATAATTCTTCCAAGTAAAATCAAGATGAAAGAATTTTTTAAAACTCCCAAATATAAGGGAAACTGAAATAACAATAAAATATACAAGAAACAAATACACATCCACAAGAGCCAACAACCAAAAATTTATAATGCTCATTAAGTTACTACTAGAGTAACTGTTTCGTACTTGGTATTGAACCTATTATTGAAAATGCTTAATTCAGTTTAGTTATTTAGTTTAAGTAGAGTACATGATTCTAATTCAAAATCCTTGTCTCTCAGCCACTCAGATTCCATCTTGGTCAGCAAGGAGCATATACTTGAACCATTTTAGGCACCTATAAGATTTTTTTTTTCCTTCTGATTCTATTTTAGATAGAGTAGGACTAACAAAGTGGTTCAATTTAACCCTCCACAATTTTGGGTTCATTAGCTGAGGTAGTACAATTTTAAAAGGAATGTTCTATTCTACTCAACCTACAGTGAATGACAGGTATCCTGTGTCTTCTTGCCAATCCCTACAAAAACATAAAAGATCATTTTAGTAATAATGGTTTATCTCTATGACTCTGGAAAAGACTTTTAGCAATAAAAAAGAATAAAATCAGAATGGAATGTTTTTGCATGTTCTGAGTTGAACAGTAAGCAGTTACTAATTTATCTTTTCCCTGGTTGGGAACGGAACAGAAGATGCTTTTGCTCATTTACAGAAATCTGCTAAACTGTAGTTTCTTAGTTCCAAAACATGTACTTTGCCTCATTCCTTCTCCCTCCACTCAAAGTCCAGAATAATGTCATTTTATCAGCTATTAACTTTTGAGTAAATCACTTAACTTCCCTTAGCCTATTTTCTTGTCTGTAAAATAAAGGGGTAGCAACAAATCAGCAGTTTTTGCTAAGAATCAAAAACATACCTGGTTAAAACAATTTTTTACTAATAAAATATTGATGTTTACTAATATTTTTTAAAAACCAAAATAAGAATGTATTCAAAGTTACCTATATGTAGGCTGGGTGCGGTAGCTCACTCCTGTAATCCCAGCACTTTGGGAGGCCCAGGTGGGCAGATCACTTGAGGCCAGGAGCTTGAGACCAGCCTGGCCAACATGCTGAAACCCTGTCTTTACTAAAAATGCAAAAATTAGCTGGGTGTGGTGGTGCACGCCTGAGATCCCAGCTACTTGGAAGACTGAAGCAGGAGAATCTTGAACTCCGGAGGTTGCAGTGAGCCGAGATCATGCCACTGCACTCCAGACTGGGAGACAGACTCCACCTCAAAACACACACACACACACACACACACACACACACACACACATCCCAAAACCAAACAAATAAAAAAACCAACCAACAAATCAACCAACCAAACAAAAAATCCCCCAAAGAACAAAGTTATTCATGTGTAGGTAAATCTCACCTACATTCTGATGCATTTTCTTGATTGAGAAAGAAATTGTTACTTGTTAGCACACCAGTAATGGCATAGCAAGTAAACGCCATTTTTTTCTCTAAGTCTCTGTATATGAATAGTAGAGATCTCTGGATGAAACTCTAGTCTAATCTCTTATTACCTAGTTTTCTAGATAATAAGAGGATAATTAAAGTTCTTAAGTATAAAAATTTCACGATTGACTGGGACCTTATACAATGCCCTAATATGTGTTAAATAAATATTTTGTTGGATGACTCAACCTATCATTTAAAATTTATTATATGCTTTTTCTAAAACAGAACTCAAAGTTTAAATGTCCCTATAACTATGGGGTATGATACCAACCTAAGTCAGATGTAAGCTGACACTATTACTATCTGACAGCAAACCTTAAAACCAGAATCTGAACCAAGTTTTGTTATGGGAAATAAGTACTTAGATAGAGGAAAGATCATTTGCCTTCTTAAATCTTTTTTTCTTTTATTTTTTTTTTTTGAGACAGTTTTGCTCTTGTTGCCCAGTCTGGAGTGCAATGGCGGGATCTTGGCTCACCTCAACCTCAGCCTCCTGGGTTTAAGCGATTCTCCTGCCTCAGCCTCCCGAGTACCTGGGATTACAGACATGTGCCACCATGCCCAGCTAATTTCGTATTTTTAGTAGAGACGGAGTTTCTCCATGTTGGTCAGGCTGGTCTCAAACTCCTGACCTCAGGTGATCCGCCTACCTCAGCCTTCCAAAGTGCTGGGATTACAGGCATGAGCCACCGTGCCCAGTCTTAAATCTTAAATACTGGCCACCTCTCTTTGGCATATATGTGGATTATGTGTCAGTGCATATCTATTTAGCCCTAACACCAGCCCCAAAAGGTCAGAAAACTGAAAAGATAATGAAATTTAACTAATTCATTCAATGATACAGAATTAAATTATTTGAACCAACTTGCTACCTCCATAAACATGTTGAAAAGTCCATCCGAACATATCTGACTTTTTATTCTGAAATCATAGCCTCAGCACAGGGGAAAAATTTTCTGAAAACTAGGATTTAAGAAACTTATTTTTTTAAGCAGTAAAAAGGTCACCTCTATGAGATATTGAGATAAGCAACAAAGCAACAGATATGGTATTGGCACAAGACAAAGTAGTAGAACTCAGGCAGACCAACATTTATATGAGTGGTCATAATTAACATTACCAATAGCCCCACAAATTAATGAAGAAATGACATACTAATTAAAAGACGATGTCAGAAAAACTGGCCCACAGTACAGAAAGAAACAAAATGGGATTCCTACTTAACACCATATCCAAAGATGGACTACATATAGGTTAAAGACCTAAAGGTAACAGATGAAATTATGAAGAGAAGATAATGTAGCAAGATATTTTTGGGAAATACGGATATGAAAAAACTTCAACAAATTCCCAAAAGTCATTAACTATTCTGATTGCATCATAATTAGTGATTTCTATTTAACCAAATGCAACATAAAGTTAATTGACAATGGCAAATTAAAGAAAATACCTGGCTCGGGCCCACCCAGCGACACCAAAAAACCAAACTAAAACAAAACAGAAAATATCTGTGCTATCTAAAAATGACATAGGACTAATACCAAGAATACAAAACAAACTCCTACAAATTCACAGGAAAAAACAAGCAACTTCGAAAGAAAAAAAGGACAAGATGTGCACAGGTAATTCACAGTGGAGGAAACTTAAAGGACTAACAATAATTACTACATACAGAAATGGAAATGCAAATAAGATGTCCTTTACTGACAGAAATTAAATGTTAGGGAAGAATGGAGATATAGGAACCCATTCTTGCTCATATGGCTGAAAGCATTCTGTGGAGCAAATTATTTGGCAGTATTTAATCAAAATTGGCATAGACATAAAAAGTGGATGGGTGAAATGTGAAGGATGTGAACTATGGAGTGCTACAGAGCAAAAAGAAACCATGGCTTAGATCGGCACTGTCCAACACAGAACTAGCCACATGTGGCTATTAAAGTTAAATAAAAATTAATTAACATTACTAAAAGTTAACAATTGAGTTCCTCAGTTATGCTAGCTACAGTTCAAAAGCTCAACAGTTACTTGTGGCTAGTGGCTACAGTATTAGCCTGTACAGATTAAGAACATTTCTCCTTTCGATCATCATAGAGCATAGGACAGGCTGCTCTAGATGAACACAAAGTATCATGGACGTTTCTTTAAAACAATACTGAGAATTCTGACAAACTTAACATTAGGAAGTGAAGTCTAAAGCACATTTAAAGATGTAATCTGTAAAATGCATACAATGAAAAAGGGTGACATTGAACATGTAAGAGTTATCTGTGAGGGGAAGGGGAACAGCAGTTAGAAATAGGTAACCAAAGGGAACGTAAGTAAAATGACAGGTACAATGGATGGACTGATACGCCTGATAAAACCATGGACTTAAGAATGTTAATCTCCTGTATTTGAGGTCCAACAAGAAATGATGGGGTTAGGGTTAGCCAGAAATCCTGGGGGAAAACAGTAAACACTTAACTCCGATGCCCTCAGGAACAAAATCTTTTTAGGTTGCAAAGAAGGAATTTTTCGTATCTCCATTGCCAACCAATTTTCATTAAAAATTACAATCATTTTTTTCGCCTCGATCTCAATTCTACCATGCTAACACTTCACTATAAACTTTCTTCAGGGAAGAACGAATCGTGACAAAAAAAGAACTATCAATGGCCAGAGAATAAAAGGTGAAATAGATTACTCGATTGCCACCAACATTTTACAATTAGTTATTGTATAGTTTTCTTAACAGAGCTATTTTGATTACACAGGGCAAATTCTAAAAGTGGGACAAGGTCAACTTAACACAATCTATGAAAAAGTGAATACAATTAATATTTTTTGTGTTTCTATTTTCTTCAACAATTAGGAACTGTAAACTGATGATTTCTACCAAATGACACATATTAACAAGATAAAAATAAAAGTCTGGTTTAACTTATCATGGATTTATCAGTAGAGTAAGTTAAAATGTTCTAGAATGTTTGTCAATGCAAGTTGAAAAATCTGAAACATGTTTAGTGCTCTGTAAATTTTCTTCCTTTCCTTTAGCCATTTCCGCATCAATCCTAAGCAGACCGAGGTCATTTTAAAACACAATACCAATAGAAAACATGTATCGTAATACTTAACAGGTAGGAGTCAGCCACTCAATTCTCACAACAGTGTAAGGTAGGACTATTAAAATCTCCATTTAACAGACGAAACAGAGGTCTGTTAACCGGCAAGGTCGCGCAGCTATTAGTGGAGGATCTGGGCCACGACGCATCCCCAAACTAAGCTACTTCATCGATCTTCTGATCCATCATCCCCGAGGATTCAGATTTGCATTTACCTGGAGAATCTCACGGTGCCACGAAGTGGAGTTCCCGGTTCGTGGCTTATGAGCCAAACTGCCCGCTGAGCCATGGTAAGCCACTAAAGCTTTAGCTCATCTCAGAACTAAGGTGGCCACCAAGGAACAGCGCAGACCGGCTTTCTCAGATGGACTCTTACCAGAAGCCCCGGGGCTCCTCCTGAGCCACATACCGGTCGCTCTCAGCAGAGAGGGTAGCTCCTTTAGGTGAGATGACCAACACATACCGCAGAAAGTTCTAAGAATCCCCGCCTAAAACCTCGAAACATTTATCCCCTTCAACTCCGGTACTTTCTTCCTCTAAAGTCTACTTCCGGGATGGTGGCCCGCATGGGTCACAGTTCCTCATACACCGCAGCGTCGAGCCTCTCTTCGGTTCGCCCTCCCCTCGTTTTCTTTCCTGGCCCCTCCCGACAACCTCTCGGGCGCGCGCAGTTCCACTTCCGGCGTATGAGGCGGTGACAATGGGAGCAGCGCGGGTGGCGCCGGGAGGCAGCTGACAGGCGTCTGCGGCTTCGCTTCATGGCCGCTCTCCCGGCCCGCCTGGGATCTGTGGGGAGTCGGGGAGCCCGCGGCGGCCTGGAGCCGGAGCTGGCGAGCGGAGCGGAGACCTGTGCGCCGCGCCTCTGAGGCGCAGCATGTGAAGCGGAGACGGCATCCAGTGCGGGGCGAGCCTCTCAGCCGGCCGGGATGGCTACCACGGCCGAGCTCTTCGAGGTGGGCCCGGTCGGCTCTTCAGGGAGTGGCAGGCCCGGGGTTTGCAGGCAGCTGGGTGGGCGGGCCGAGGAACGGGCGTTCGCTGGCTGCCCAGGAGGAGCCCTCGGGAGAGAGGTGCGAAACTGAGGGGTTGGGGTGGCGAATCCGTGTCAGCGCGGGCGGAGCGTGAAATGGGGGAGGGGTGGCTTGGGGCCGAGGTGGGCTGGGCGGCCGTGCGGCAGAGAGAGGAAGCCGGGCGTCCGGAGGGAGGAAGGTTGGTTTTGTCTGTGGGGGCAAGAGTGGGAATCTGGAAGGTTCGGATGTTGGAAGATGTCTACTAGGGATGAGGAGTGGGAAGGTCTGACTTCAGGACGAGGAAAGAGAGTCAGGAGCCTCAGGTTGGGCGAGCCTTGTCTTGTCGCTGGAATCCTCGCGGCAATAATAGGAGGAAGCCACTTGAGATCGGGACTCTTGGGGGCTTCTTGTTTTGAATAATTATTCCATTAGTAAGGTTGCTGGTGGGATGCATATGCCTGTCAGTTTAACCTTGCATTTGAAAAGGCTGGGACCTTTTTTTTTTTTGGGACAATAGGACCTACTTAACCCTTTCGACTGAAGGGAGGCAAAATTCAAGTGAACACTTTATTTCATGTAATAAACTCAAGGCAATTACGTGTATTATGAAACCAAAATGGATACTATAAAACTAACGTTTCCTATATATAATACACCTTAAGTGTATTATATGCATTTACGTGTATTGTAAAATCACCTAACTGCAAGCTAGAGAATCCTTAACACTTAATAGTGAAAATACTAATGTCATTCCTCGAGTGTTTTCAGTATGTAAACTTTAAAATTTAATTTCGTGAAGTCCGCTGTAAGAAGCTGTGATAAAAGTTTGAGATAATAGAATAGGAAAACTCTAATTGGACAACCAAACCTATAAAAAGCATCTCCTTGTGTGAAAGAAGTGAAACCAGATAAAAAAAGAAATACCCCTTTTTTGTGTGTATGTTTGTGTTTCACAGAGTGACAGGTGTAATAATTAAGACTTTAATCTACAATAAATGAAAATTGTATCCTTTTTCTGCCTAAGATTCTGCAGTTTTTGTGGCTTACAATTTGAATGCCACAGTTTTAATAAATGGAACTTTACATTTGTTATTGTTACTATATTTTGCATATCAGTCAGCTTTTGGATAGATAACACTTTTTTTGGGAGGAGTAACTTATGTGTTATTGTTATAATAAGTTGTAATAAGACAGTAATTTGTGAATGAAGGATTGTAATTACAAGAAAGACTTAAGAGATATTGTATTTTCTCAGATAAATGTTGAGAGATGTGCTACATTAATTTCTGTAATTCCAAAATTGTGTCATCTGTTTATTGACACAAGAACGAGGAGACATTTTTCCTGCTAAGAACTTTTACTGAGTCCCTGGGCAAAGTACTAAGTAGTGCTGTGGTTCTTTGTTTTATTTTTCACATCTTATAAAGGGAGAAAACAATGAAGTTGTTTGAGATCTTTAATTAATACATTTGCTGACAAGCCAGCTCTTACCAGAAAACTATTATATATGTTGTCATACAGTTCATAAGACATTATCCTTTGAGTTTATCCTGCTTGACAGTTTCAGTTGTGCCTTGGACCATCTTATGTATATTTTTATTTAAATGTTTTACATTATTTCAGTACCTTATTTGGAAATATGTTTGATTTTTCCCTGCCCCTCCATAGAAGGGAAGGGGAGGAGATGGGGAAATACATATTTTAGCGTTCTGGGGTCCTGCCATTAGGTTAAGTAGTGAAACCAGATTAGTATTTAACATAATTTAGTGACTCCAGTTACATGGTAGCCAGAAAGATTCAGTGATAATAGAGACAGTAGTCCTTAGACTACCCTTAGGCCAGAGGATTTTTAGAACAAATCTAAACATATTTATAGATCTTAAAACTTATGAGATTTTTTTTCCTGACTGTATGTAGCCTGTTGCTTCATAAAAATTAAAAGCGTAATAGTTACAGTTAAGTTTTAGTACTTAAAATTAAGAAGTGCATCTATCTTTTCTGATAGGGCTATGAATCCAGCCCTCCAGTGGACTCTACTCTTGTATAAGTTTTCAGCCCCAAGTGAAAAGTTGATCTCTTTGCTTTGGAAGGAGGAGGAAAAAAAATCCTATCACTGCTCAGTTTCCTGCCATAGCATCTAGGTTGTAGTACAAGTCACAGGAAGTATCTTTTTCTCCTTCTTGCCTTTCTTAGTCACAGCTGGAGAGCTGTGGGAAACAGAAGGCGGGGTATAGTCAAGGATATTTGGTTTTTATGCATCCTGATTTTTATGCACTATTAAATAGAATTGTCCTTTCATTTTTCATGTTAAGAGAAGTTAAATGAAAACAAACTAAAGCTTTTGAATCCATGAAATTTAATTGTGTTAACTCTTCTTTTAAAATCTTGTTGGTCCCGTGACACTTAACAAAAACAACTTCATGTAACAAAATCAAACTGTAATGTTTTCTCAGTTGACTGAAATGATTTAGTAATAGATGATTTGGCTATTGTAATAGTGTATCTCCTGGAAGTTTCTCAGACTACCTTCTTAGTTTCAACCTTTGTTGACAGATCTTTCTGAAAAGATCCATCTACAGTGATTTTAAATCTCAGGATGGACATTCTAAATAGGGATTCTTGTGTGGTATGGATAAATTATATCTTCTACATATACAAAGTGGCTGGGCTCAGAAATTTTAAATTTTTTTCTCTTTTCTTTGTTTTTGAGACAGGGTCTCACTCTGTTGCACAGCCTGGAGTACAGTTGTGTGATCACTGCTTACTGCAGCCTCTACCCTCCAGGCATAATCCATCCTCCCACTTTAGCCTCCAGAGTAGCTGAGACTACAGATGTCTGCCACCACACCCAGCTAATTTTTAAAAACTTTTTGCAGAAACAGGGTTTCACCATGTTGCCCAGGCTGGTCTTGATCTCCTGGGCTCAAGCAGTCCACCCACCTTGGCCTACCAAGGTGCTGGGATTACAGGGGTGAGCCACCGTGCCCCACCAGTTCTTTTTATGTTGTTGCAAATATTCCTCTCTTCTTTTATTATGCTACTGAGGACCTTCTTTTCTCATTTGCTTATTTTTTCCCCCATGATTCTTCAAGAATCTTCTGTTTTCTCTGTGTAGGCAACCATTATGGGAGAGTTCCTGGTTAGTAACTACGGTTAATTATTCATTCATTCTACAGATATTTGTTGAGTACCTATTAAGTTCAAGATAAGGTTCTGAAATTAACGAGGCTGCATGTCTCAAAGGGCATGTCATAGAAATATTAATCATTCGAGATGTGCTGCAGAAACTAAAAAGGGTTCAGTGACCAAATAAGTTATGAAAATGAGCATAGTCTGTTTCATTGGAGATGTAGAGTGTACCTTAATATGTTAAAGATTCTGAGAAATCCATTTCCCAAACTTTTTCCACAATCAGACTGTTTTCTTTCTTTTTTTAGAGACTTTTGTTTTTTTACTGCCTGTTAATTTTGTGAATTACATACTTTGGAAATTAAGTATAGAACCTGCCCTTTTTATCAAATAGAGGGAGAGAAGGTAGCTAGATAATTTGATTCCTTACTCTAAAAATAAGATTATAATTGGTTTCAGAGAGGTCTGCATAAAGTACGATAGGTATTGAGAGGATGGGAAGATTACCTCTAGAAGAAGGAAAGGATCGGAAGGTGTCATTTGAATTATCTGCAAAGGATAAGTTAGATTTGAGTGTGGAACTGGGTGGAGGGACTTTTCAGTAAAGCAGACAATAAAAGCCAAGACAAAGGGAGGGTTCATTTTGGCTGGAGTATAGCATACATAAAGAGGATGAGTGGCATGTAAGGTAAATTGGGGTTTAACTGTGGAGGTCCTAAATGTCAGGATTAAAAATTCATTTGTTTTTCTTTCTGTAAGCATAGGTTCTTTGATAATAGTGCTTGAGGTCAGGTAATTTTGCCATGATAGCAATGGTTGTTTGACTTCCAAATTAAAGTGTGAATATCGAAGAACACATGTTCCCATATTTATTTGTCTCAGTTCTTCAAACTAAATTACCAAAGCTGTTTAAACAGACTCATTGAAAATGATGTCTCTTGTTCAATTAGCTAGCCAGGTATATACTATTGAACATGAGATATACAAGTAAGGAGCACCCCGTTGCTGTCAGGGTGCCGAAATGCTATTTATTTTGACCATATTAGTTGTTAAGTAAGTGTTTATAGAACTTGGTTACCAATCGTACTATCTTGTATATGATAAAATGTATTCATTCTGCAAACTTTGGATGAATGTTTAGGCCAGACATCATTCCAGGTACTAGAGTTAAAAGATAGTGAATGACACATCTGGCTGTGTGAGACGGACATGTTAATACATTAATACAGTGGGAGTACAGAATCTTTTCCGGGTATTATTAGGAAAGCTTTCAATGGCATATAGAAACTGGATGTTCATGGATGACTAGAAACTTAAGGAGATGGGTATTTCAAGGCAGGGACACAAGATGACTCCAATTTGTTGTAAGGTGAGGCAGTTGAGAACAATTAGGATGTGCGTGTGCACGTTTTAAGAAT